AAATATTCCCCATTCAGGATAACACACGAAGTAAATAGCATCAGATTACCATCACCACTACGTTTGAGGCTACATTCTAAGATTATTCCAAAGAATATCAAATTACAATAACATGTTGAATAGAAATTTTATGAAGAGATACGCTATTTGCGAAAATCTACTTATCCGTAATGCAGTCGTTTAAGAATAAAATTGACGCAGAACAAATTAAAACTAAATTTAAAACTGATATTGCAAAGTAGAAAAAACTGAAAGGGAAGAAAGAATACAAATGTCTCTCAATAAAAGAAGGGAAAAGAAAATTGCCAGAATTACCTTAATCCCAAATTACAAAGGCAAACTGTACCAAGAGTTTTTACGCGATTTTTACACACTATTTGGGAAATTATGAAAAACCCTAAATTTAATGGATTAGAAATGTATGATATGAAGTTACAAAATACATTTTAAAGGTTTTTATAGATACACCTAAATAACTAGACACTCACAGCGGACACTTGCTTGGTGCTGTACAAACATGGTTTTTGAGAAGCGTCAGCTGTAGTACCTTTGTTACGATCACCGTCGTTCCATTATGATTGCTAATAATTCTCAACAAAACTTAAAAGCTGCAAGACAAGGAGTTCGTATTAATTATTCACCATATTAGGCAATATAGAGACAAACAACTGACGTATTCACAAAGGCGTAGTCTACTGGACGACACGTGTAGGCATACACCAGAAATAGGCACGAGCACGACGTTACCTGTATTTCACTAGCTAGGCACACAATAAAGGTAGCTAGAGTTTCAGAAACGGGGAGTGAGGGGAAGGGAGGATGGGGGAAGCTTTGGGCACTAGTTGCGTCGTCATCTAATTTTTCTTAAAGCGCTTGCCTTATCGTTGGCCTCAGCCGAAAACCCAAGTTCTACTCACGAGACGCGTCTGGCATTTATACCAACTTTGAGTTGCCATTGCCTTCTACAAAGTCAATAGCGCATACTTTCACGTATTATTCAATTTTGTGAAGGTCGCGTAAAATGCATTCTTGGCAATCCGGGATGAGCCGCGTCTCCGTCAATTGTACTGACGTTTCGGTCATCATGTTGTGGCCTTCATCTGAGCTATATTGCTATTAGCTATCAGCAGTATAGCTATCTGCTATCAGTAGTATATATCTGAAGACGGCCACAGCAAGATGGCCGAAACGTCTGCACAATTGACCGAGACGCGGCTCATCCCGGATAGACAAGAATGTATTGACTCCGGCCGCGGAAGCCTACGATCGGATATGACGCTTAAAATGGCTCACGTCTCACTTTCGATGAAATATCTGAATTTACGAAAATTACATAACTTCAAATCTCTTCTGAGTCTTCCTACAACTACAATAATGAAGACGGAGCTTTTTAATGACATATCTTTAAATGGGGGCATGTATAAGTTTCCTCACACCCCACAAATGTTCCACAACACGTGAAATAAAGATAATTTTTAAACAATTATTTCCTAAAAAATAGCTCTTAATTTCTTCTTTAAATCTTTCATTCTTACGTATCACTGGAAGATAAAATATTATAATAGGCGATGATCCCATTTTTTGCAAACTCTGTATATTTTCAAAAATGAATATATTTCAAAATCTTTATATTCAAAATCAACAATAATTAAGATACATATTTTTTTCTTAAACGAAATCTGTAATACTCGATTTTAAATAAGGTCGTGTTCAATTTTTCGACAACGGGATTAGTTTTCGGCGTAATTTCTGTTTGATGTTAAGGCATTTTCTTTTAATTCCCCAAAACTGGTCGAAAATTTATCTTGTGATGTCAGAATTACTTATATCCTGCAGCCCAAAATTTCCGTTCTGGGCCATCAGAAGAGCAACGTACGTCCCAAAGAACAGGCCAAGGAACAGGGCGGAAACTTCGCCTTCGACCTTGAGAGCCCTTTTACTCCCCCCCTCTTAAGAGGCCTCCGGAGACAGCGTTTGGCCCTTC